TTTGGTTCTTCGGTCACTTCTGGCTCTGTTTCTTCAGGTTCAGGTTCTGCTTCTGGTTCTGAATCAGTTTCTTCGACCTCTTCTTCAGCAGCGTCCTCAGCAACTGCAGCCTCCTCTGGGATGGCGTCCACGGTTATCTGCTCCTCATGTGCTGATGCCTCTGTTTCTTCCTGTGTGTCTTCATCTTCTGATTCATCAGCAACTTCTTCAATAGTTTCTTCAGCAGCAGATTCCTCCTCTTCTGCAGCGGCCTCCTGAGATTCACTCACTTCCTCTTCTTCTTCTTCTTCCTCTTGGGATGATTCTTCCTTTGCTTCTTCCTCAACTTCCTCAGTTTCCTCTTCCTCAGTTAATGTCTCCTCCGCCTCCTCTTCAGGGAAGGCAGTCTCCTCAGCTACTTCCTCTTCCTCCAGACTTTGCTCCTCCTCAGCCTCTTCTGCCTCCTCAGATGCCACCTCTTCCTCCTCTCCTACCACTTCTTCGTCACTTGCAACCTCCTCAAGGGAAGAATCCTCCTCAGATGGAGGTGCTTCCTCCTCCTCTTCTTCATGCTCTGAAGGAGAAGCAGCCTCTTCCTCTGCATCTAAATGTGACGGGGCTTTGCAGGGCTGACACATGGCCCTCTCTGGGGCCGGGGTGTCGTTGGAGGAGCTTTGGCTGCCGTGTTCCTCTGTGGTGTCACATCCACAGGAGAAGAGGTCTCCTTCGGGCTGCTGGAGCTGCAGCTGCACCAGAGGCTCCTCATCGTGGACGGAGGACTCGGGCAGGAGATCTAAAAGTGGTGGAGGATGAAAAAAATCTGATCAGAAAAGCTGTGTGATCTTCTTAAAACACCGAGCCCTGATCATTGTCAGCTTTTAAAGAAAGAAAAGTGACCATCTGAAGTGATAATCTGTCATTTCTGAAGTCATAAAGTCGTCTCACAGACACATGCTAAAGTGGGTATTCATTGTTTTGCTAGCGGATGTAGTCATCATTTGGTCATCTGTGACATTTAAAAGTGAACAAAACAAAACATGGACGAAATGCATTAGATTTTAGATTTTAAAATAGCTATTGCTTGATTCACTTCAGCTGGACATCTGCAGTCCAGTCTCCTTTGTTTGTTATGTCAGCACTTGACCTGCACTCCGTCAGTCACCGTGCAAGAACAGAGCGGATCACATGTTGAGCACCTCCCCGAGTTCAGACTCAGGTTTCAGCTCCTTGAATGGTGGCACGAAGGAATGAAACTATTTAAGGCTGACAAACAGTGGACAAAAGCTGAGTGGACAGCTTGGAAGAGATAAAAATGTTTTTATGTTTTAGCATAACTTTATTACCGATGTGATGTTTTCATT